TAGAGCACTTGTCTACCTAGCACATATGAGGCACTAGGTTTAATCCCCCATACCACAAATAAAACACAATACTTAGAATCACTGATGCTGCATCTGCTTGTACTGACCTAGTATCACAGGGCCTACCGCAGTGCCATGTGAACGGCATTCGGTTAGAAAAGTCAGAAATGCTTCTAGTTCACGCTGTAAGTCATTTCATTGCAGAAGGAGAATGCTCTTCTCAGATACAAAACACGCCCATCTATTTTCAAGAAAAGCATAGGCCAACAAACAAATTTATTTAATTAGAGACAGAATAATTATTTCCACTTCCTGAAATCCTTTCCTTTTCAGAGGAGGAAAGAAACCCTTTCATAAATGCACTACAGCAAACAATTAAAGGATAATAAAAAGGACTTTACTATTTACTGATAGATCTTATCAGAATCTAGAATGAACCATTCAGAAACACAGTGAATAATTTTTTTTTTTATCTTTTTTATCGGTACCGGGGATCGAACTCACGACTGCCTGCTTGCAAGGCAGGCACTTATGCCGCTGAGCTAAATCCCCAGACCCTCAGTGAATAACTTTTTTTTTTTTAAAGTAGTTAAACGTAAATTGTTTTACTCATCTGTAGCCTCCAACTGCTAGTCCAAAAATTGAAACGTATTACATTTAAGATCGTTTGAGTGACTAACTTTTGTTAAGACCAAATAACAATACCACCAACAACAAAACCCACAGAGTTACTTAAAGGGAAAATGGAGACAACAAAAATAATGAATAAATATGGTGATACCATTGGGAATTTTGCCTTCTCATAACATGGAAGCAGAGTTGGTAATTTTGTTATTTAATGGCATGTAAAGTCTTCAATAGAGCTTGAAATAGCATTAGAGAGCGAAGAAGAGTCAGCAATGCTGGCATTTCATTCGAAGAACAATGTCCACGGCTGCCTTGGGTTTGTTCTATAAAGCCACAAACTGTTTCACGCTGGCTATAAATATAAGTGGCTGTGTGTCTAGGATACTGCTCTGTGACCCTAGGGAACAAAAGTAGTCTCCACCATAGCATGAAAAACACCCAGAGCCTGCAGGCATCCCCAAAGTCACCTAAACAAAACCCGAATAGCAACTCCCTGGAGAAAGCTTACAAAGCAGAAAAGGGTCAATGTGGAAAAAATGTCCGAGCGGAAAGAGCGTCTGCCCAAGGTGTTGTGGCAGTGGATTGTGTCTTACGTACAAAATGCTAGATTTAGAAGAAAATTAATAAAGAGTATCTTCCTGGGTGCTCTTCGATTTCCTTATACAGAACCAACACTGGAAGCGAATCTTTCCATTTAAAGACTTGCAAAGATTTTTGGGCAATTCTCTCTGTAGCCAAGGTTTGCTGCAAGCTCAGGGCTGTTTATAGCTCTCCTAAATGAAGTGAACTGGTACATCTCACCTCCATCCGGTGAGCCATGACCAGAAACTACTTTTTACAGCATGTAATTAAACCAATTTAATGATTACATATTGGTAAGCACTAAGTTTATGATGATTAATGGTTTCAGTATGCATCGACATCACTTCAAATAGATGTTAAGTTCTACATGAGCTATCCCAAATAACACAGTGCTAGATGAAAAGAAGTTCAATAAATACATTTAAATTAATGAATAACGACCCTCATATAGGCCCCCTTATATCTAAGTTAAAGTCTCTGAGCTCACTATAGGTGGATATTCTGACCAGGTCCATGTGCTCAAGAAGACAAAAGGTGCCACGTCCTTTTTGTTAGAGCCCTATATTCTGGATAATTGCTGCAAGGAGTCACTTTTTGGCCTTCTCACCTCACATCCAAATTATTTAACTTCCTTATGTTTTGAATTATTCCTAAATAAAAGCCCCAACTCCAGCGCTTTCCTGTTTCTTCTATAACTGAGAATATGTAATTTATCAACTAGTGATTTCTTAGTCTTTTTTAAAAATTCTGTATTATTTCTACCCTTTTCTCTGTTTTGCTCTTTTTCTCTAAATAAAAAAAAAAGTATCATTTAAGAAAAGAGTTTTTGAGTGCTATGCATTTACTTTTTAAGGTCAAAGTTGAAATATGTTGTCACATCATTATCTTGCCAACTTTTTTTATGGGTACAAGGTAGTACCCTGTCTGATAGGAACTACACAAAATTGGGGGGGCAAGGAGAGGATTTGTGTGACTTAATAAAACTTGCATGCAAGCACCAAGGTTTTGCATCTCTTCCAAACGGAGAAGAAAAAGACAAAGATTTAGCTATTCATCAACTAGAATCTAAGACAATTTCCTCTTATGCATCAGGTTTGATCTCCTGATAAGATCTACTCTTTCTGCAAATCCAGGTTAGCTTCCTGCACCTATCCTTTTAAAATATCTGAACATTGTTTTGAATTTTTCTCTACTTATTTCTTTCCTTAGAAAAAGGAATGCTTTTTGTCGAGCACGATTGCCTGGAGGAAACATGAATACTAACAGGCTCTTTGCTAGGCACATCACAACCATGATTTTACCAGTATCTTTTTTTAAGCCCTCATGAGGTAGGTACTGTCTCCATTTTCCAGTTGAAGACAATGGAGCATGGACTGCCTAGCAATTTTCTTAAGCCCACACAGTAGCAGAGTTCAGTCTGACCCTGAACTAAAAGACCACACAGTCTATGCCAACTTCACTACATTCAAGCAATTTCATCCCCTCAGTCTTTAATTAGTTTCCATAATTCTACAAGTTTTGGCAAGATGACTGCTAGTCAGTGTCAAATATCTTTTGGTTTACTGGTATACTCTTCTTCATTAAAAGCCACTAGATGCTAAATGGATTCGGCATACTGACTTCTTTAGTTCTTCCATACACATCCTATACGATCATTTGGTGTGAGGCTTTTAGCTTTTCCCAAATAATTAACTTTTCAGAAAATAAAGTATTTTTGCCATTTTGAAATAATCTATCATTTGCTGTTATTTTGGATCAAACAAGAATGGAATGCTCCTTAATTGCTGTTTCATTAAAACTAAGCACAGATGGGGCTGGGAATTTAGCTCAGTGGCATAAGCGCCTGCCTTGCAAGGGTGTGGTTGTGAGTTCGATCCCTGGTACCAGTAAAAAACGAAAAAGACAAAAAAAAAACTAAGCACAGACACCCATGTATTTCCTAGTCTTGTTTCTTTATCAGCAAACAATATGTCTCCATTTGGTTTCATATCATTTAATTCATTCTTTTCCATTCACTTTTTACCATACTAAGTCCTCTCCTGTGAAAAAAACAGCCAGGTTTTGGAGAAACCCAGAATTCAAAGTCCACACTGAAGGTCAGTTACATTAATTTAGTAAGATTAGAGAAATGCTTTCACTTTACCTGATGGTAGATTCTACTTAAATAATGGTTTTCTAAGCAAGAAGAGACTTTAGTTCTCAGATAAGATCTGGAACAGCCATGATATAAACCACAGTGGCTGACCAACAGGTAACAATAATTTATCAAATATTGTGAGGTGTACATACTGAGAAGTCAGAAGTTGTGCTTCAGGCTCACTGTAGCACCTAGCACTGTGGAGAACATCAATATTTGAAATCAATCACTTAACTATCACAGCAGGATGTCAGAGTTAACAGTGCCTGAAGTGCAACACAACACTCTTTCCCTTTGCAAAGATAATGATTCTCTGGCTTTGTGCAGGTTGAATGCTGAGCATGACCCATCCAAAGGCTATGCAAATTCTTCTGCTAAGAAAGGCAGGAACACCACTACCACCCCAATATCCCTCAGGCAGTTATGCAGCATCAGCAAAAGAAATGTGCATCACAGGCAGCCAGTGAAGAAGAGGGAACTGAGAGCAGGTGTTTGGCTTCCTGGTGAATGGTTCATTTAAAAATTCAATAGAGGGAAGCAGGGCCTACAACAACCACCATCGTGATTGGTAGACCAGCACTTCTCAATTCAGTGTAAACTAATGCCCCAAAGAAGGCACAATATGAAGCCGATAACTTAAACCTGCTACATCACTTACTCTCCACATAGTATTGAAAAAACATGCTCTTTGGGAAAATTACTGAAAGAACTACTGATACCCCAAATCCAGGGCTGCTTCCATGTCAGCTCTCCCCATGAGATATTAATCACGAGCTAGATGAAATAGGCAAAAGCAGCTTCGTCACTGAAGAACCAACTAATTATCTTTCATAACTCTTTTGAAAAGCAAATGTGAATGTAAAAGCTCAAGTGAAAAACATGGTAAATGCATTTGTGTCTAGACTTTGCCAAGAAAATAAAAGAGTTTAAGTGCATGAAATCAAAAGATCTTACTAAACTAGAATTTCAAATCAAGGTCTAAAAAAATCAACCTCATATTTTAGTGCATCTTGTCTTTAGGATTTTGTGCTTATACAATCAGCTGAGACTGAACCTTGCTGTATATCCAAGATGTACACGTGTCGTATATGGTGAGTAGCACTCACACAGAAAAATCATGAGGATTAAAAAATGATTTGGGGGGCATCTTTTCCCTTAGTGTGCTGCACATTGCTATAAACTGCATCATAAGCAACTATGAAAAGCAGATCAAGTCCACAAGGATATCTTCACAACACCAGTAGAAAACCTTAAAATGAGTGGCTTAAGGGGGCATAAAGTGAAGCAGAGGTGATTACTGAGTACCACAAAACCAGGAATACAGAAACCTGAACAGCAGGAAAATATGTAGGGGAAAATCTAAGGCTGCCTCTACAATATAGTTTTTTTTTTTTCAAATGTAAATTTTAAAGTGAATGCTGCTATTATGCTCCTGCATAAAGGAAGGCATAACGAGGCTGCTCCACTTCCCTTTAAACACAAGGCATAAAGAGAGTAAGGGATGTGAAAAGCCAGTTCTTTGTGCTGCTGCTTAATCAATCGCTCTCAGTTCTACTCAGTGGCATAGCCACCCCGCAAAGACCACTCGGCAGTTAATGGATATGATGTTGGAAAAGCACTTTGAGGTCTCCCAAAGAAAGGTGGAGTAAACACCCAAAGGAGCATGGCTTTATTACTCAGTCCCAACAACTGAGTGGTAGTGTATACGAAGTATCCATGACCTGAAAAGAAATACAGTAATTTATTTTGCAAATTCTGACTTTTTCATACAAAATTATTTCTTTCAAAGGTTGAACCTTGTAGTCACAGTAGAGTTATCTGGTGCTCTACTCTGGTTTTGTCAGGATAACCATTACATGCTGAAAGGAATAAATATGTTCTTCAAGTGTTACATCCTACGCTTACAATCTGTCAAAATGTAGAGCTGAGGAGGAGTTATGTGTTTTTGACGGTATACATCCATCACTAGCTATCACTCTTCACACAGACAGGAAAAAGTCAACAATGAAACATAAAAAAGCTAAAAATAAGCCACTGAGCAATTGCTCAGAAAAGCTGCTTGTTGGACATAAGGTTAAATGTATTTTTTTATTACTGCCAATTTAAAGTAATTGATATTAAGAACTAAAATGTAGGAATAAAAAAATAAACATGCACTGCATAAATATGTAAAAGTCAGTCGTAAGTAAAATTCCATGCTCATAACCATATCTGATCACTTTTCTGACTAGCACGTGCCTAGAATGTAAGTAACAACTAATATATGTTGTTGTAGATGCCATGATAAATACCAGATATAGAAACTTCAAATGCTAAAAAAAGTCATTTCATATAAGCTGAAAATATCTCTTCATTCACAGATGCTCAGATGCTCATCTTCAAGAGTCAATCAAATCTTTTAAAAAGAAAAGACCCACTGTGTGCAATTTCATATGCTCTCATGGCAGAAAATGCTGCATAAAAATGAGCATGTTTTACACGCAGGAATGTCTTCAAAGTATATGTATGAGCACTGATTACAGAAAAAGTATAATCCAAAAAACACCAGATTCAGAAAAACGTATTTTTTGGTTCTTTTCTCAATCCTTAGGAATTTACTAGATGGGAAAGATGGCATAAAAGCCTAAAATTACACGTTTGAAATCTTACATGTGAAAATGGAGATAAACTTTACAACAGTAGTTTTTCAGGGTTTTCCAGCTGAAAAATGATTAATATAACCAAGTCTCATAGAAACCATAATATACAAGTGAGATAAAAGAGGTACATGATTAATACAAATTTATTTTATAAGCACAACTTAGAACATTTATTTTTTAGGTAAACAGGTTTTTGCTAAAGAGAGAAATATGAAATAAGATTACAGTTGCATTTTTCCATGAGCCTTAGCATCTGATTCATTTTTGTACTTTGTAATTTTTTTGTACTGAGAAAATTCCAACATACACCTAAGTGATTGCAAATAGTAACATTTAACAGCTCCCTTGAAATCTCAGGTTATTTTCCAAGAAACAGAGAACAGTAAGAGAAGCTTCATCCCATCATGTGAATCCAAACTCAATAATACATTAGTACAAATTTACTCTTCATCAGTGGGCTCCATGATGGCAATATTTTCCATACTGTACACTTAGCTGAGTGTTTTATTATAATACTTAAATCTAGATCCAACTGTTCAGAAACCTAGACTCCCACTCAGAATGTCTTAGGGTTAGTAAAATCTCTATTTGAAAACCTAAAAAGCTTTCTGGGATGCACTGACTTGGTGTCAACAGCCAGAAATACAGGAGACCAATGCACACATAACATATGAACACCAGGTGACCAATCTAGGACTCCAGTAATGTGTGCCACCTGCACACTTGCTGTCCTTTGATTTCCTTCATTTCTTCCCAGTGATCTCGCTCCTCCTCTCCACTGCTGTTCTTCCCCAAAGCAATCCAGCCAATCATTTCTTTACACTTCATAGTACGTCTGCTATAAATGGAAATCATCAGGGTGACATCAGAGAGCTGGAAGAGGGCCACCTGGAAAACAAAAGTCTCCTTGTACATGGGATTGGGCTGACCACGTCGAAGGGATGTCTTGCAACGGTACATCTCTTGACCCACAGAATCGAGGAGGAAGAGTTTTCCATATGTATCTATGGCAAGAGCAAAACAAGGAAGGAGGTTAGAAAACATCAGTGCTTTCTGTTTGCTAGTTTAGTTGTAATATTTACATGAGATGCAAATTTCTCTTTTCAACATATTGAGTGGTTTCCTTAGGCCTATCTTTGCTGTTGGGCAAGCACGCTTTTCATGAATTATTAAAGAAACCATTATTACCTTGAATATCTAAAGTTTCTAGGAATGCACACTCTGACACATTGCTGATGGTCATCAGAACCTCTATTTGCATGGGGTATTTATGCACATGTGCAGTTGTATGTGAAATGGTGTCTGTGAACATAGACATACCTCCATCCACAGTTCATGTGTAGGGCAAGATAGGCACAGAATATTCATTCTATCTATCTGTCTATCTATCTATCTATCTATCTATCTATCTATCTATCTGTATGTCTGTCTATCCTTTTCACAGCCAAATGTTTATGTCTAAATTAGACTCTCTTTGGACCCTCCACATATACTTGGACCGTCTCACTCACTCCAGCCCACCTGATTTCCGTCTCTTTCCCTTCTGGGTGGGTGATTACTACATCTTTGCATCTCCACAGATACTCACTGTCAATGACCTCTATTAATTAAATGCATTCTGATATCCGTCCATGACTTCTATTAATTAAGTGCAGTTAGGATGCCACCATTTGTGGAAGATCTTCCTGACCTTTCTCCTACCAGCTATGGTCCATGTAACCCTCCAATTGCCTTCAACCAAATTCATTTCAAAACTATCTTGGCACTTACCATCTTTTCCATCAGAGCTTGCCCCATTTAACTGCAAGGACTGGCAGTTCCCAGTGGTAAACAGAGGGACTGTCTTGCTCATCACTGAACATCTATGACTGGCCTACTGACTAAAGTGTTAGACCTTCAACAAATATTTTGTACTGAATATTCCTAATTAATCAGGAAGCTCAACCTTCTTTATTCTTTGGTCTTCAAGATTTCAAACTCACAAAACAAAGCTAAACTTAATTTATAATCCTTGCACAAGAACACTACAAAATAGTGATGAATGTCATGTTTTTAGTTATTAATATAAAGTAAAAAATATTCACAGTTAATAGAAAGGAAAGAAAATATCCAAATTTGGAAAATATAGTGAACTTTCACTAAAATTCCTGAGTGGATCTTTACAAAGAAAACTATCTCCCCAATTATATTTTATTTTTAAAAAGATGTAATGTAATTAAAAATGTTTTTCTGAACTACAACTTTTACTCCTAACTGAAGTGTATTCCATTCTTTAAAAAAAAAAAAAAATGTTTGGGTGTTTCCTGAATTCATTCTGTTCAATGCAAGCAGCAAGTGATTAGCATTTACAGATCACTTCTCCATCTAACAATCAGTAAGAGTTCTTAAAATGTAAATCCAGGTCTCTGTAATTTACCTTTCCCTCCAAGAGCACTGTAAGGTAGGAAACAAATTACAACCTGCAGTTTTCTTTGTATGTTGATCTTTTTCTATTCCAGTTTGATGCATTATTTTATGCACTTATCTGCTGAGAAACACAAGGTGTGAAATTGCACTTCAGGTGTGAAAACACGTCTCTGTCTCAGAAACAAGGCTCTGTTCTTCAAACTCTTCTATGAACAAAGCTGTCAGAAAACCAACAACGGGGAATTGAATTTGTGCTTTCGGGGTTGTACAGCTTCATGATTTCCAAAGGAAAATTTTAATCTAAACACCAGACTGCTCCAGCAAGTCTGCTGCTAGTCTTAGCAATAGGAATTGAGCTAATCTTGCAAACAAAGCAATGCTCATTTCACAAAGAGTATTTTCAGGTTTTCTCCTGTGGCAAAAATTTTTTTTTTTTTTAAATTACGAGTTAAGCCACTTACTGCCAAACAACCATCACCAAGTTTGGATTTTATATGTATAAAACAAAATAATTTTGTAAGCAATCCAGTCAGACACTTGATCAAAAAAAGGGAAATATAACTAATTATTCTACTTTGAAAAGGAAAGTTTTCAATACCACAATAATGTATTTATTAACATCCAGGACAAAGTCAATGCCTGTGAAATCCTGCTAGTGTGGTATAGTAACAGTGCATGACAGGGTCTTTTGGGATTCAGTGACTTACTCCAAAGAGCACCCATTCGAATGGATAATGAAAGAGTTCAATTAAATGAATTTCTAATTTAAATAAGCTTTGTCTTAATTATTTAGAAATTGATAACAGTGGCTATAAAGCAATATGGAATAATATTTCATCTTCTGTTAATGATTCAGAAAGTTTTTACAGTATCTTTAGTAACTCAGACCATTATCAAAAGGCCAAATGGGTCATAATTCCTTAATAGTCCTGTCAACTGCATTATTGGTCACTTATCTCATAATAAAGGAAGATGTCACATGTACCAAAACATTCACAGTAGTATATAATTCCCAATTTATCATGTCATAAAAAGATGTTATTTGGAATTCAGAAGGCAATTTTGAGAAAGAACATGGTACTCTATGGTTAGAAACAAAGGACACACAAAATGCTCACTCATGCACAGCACAATGTTTTACCAACTGTATTACAGACTCAGTCTCTAGAGTTAGGGTACAATACATTCTGAGTTTCTGGGCAGTTGGGCATTTAACATTTCTAGCCCTTTTAATTTATTGATAAGTCACAAAACATTCTAAGCATATATAAGAGAATAATGAACAATGTCATACATACCAATCTGTGTAGTTGAGTATTGTTTGTCATACTTTCTACTAACCTTTAATTTTCTTCACTTGATTTTCAAGAAATAAACATAACTGAAGACCCTTGTGTATACTTCCTGAACATGTTCAAATTGTCTTAGATTTGAAGTTCACTTTCATTTCTCTTTTTAGATCTTTACCGCATTTGTAGACGTATATAAACCCAGCAAAAATATATCAGCACTATTTTGTACATTAAAATATTCAACATTGTATGTCTTCTTGAAGTTTGCTGGTTTTCATTCAGCATTAAATTTTTTAGTATTGCCTTTATGTATGTAAACGTGTGGTCCATTTATCTGCCATTCCAATGTATTAGTAAATTACAACATTCTCAGTCATTCTCTTAATTGCTGGACATTTGTTCATAGTAACCAAGAACTGAAGAGACTCTAGTGAATATTTTTCTTTATTTGAATTATACTGATGCTCAAATTTTCTCCATGATATACATGAGTGGATTTTAGGCACTTCACAAAATCTGTGCACTAGATGCAAAATCATTGCTAACTGTATTTATTGATAATATCTTTTCCATGCCTGTTTATCAGGTTTATCAAAGCCTTTATTTTCAGTGGATACTTTTTTCTACAGTTAAAAAACCCTATTCAAGCTCAGTGGTCTCTCATATTTTCTTCTATGCATCATAAGAATTCCTTTTTACATTTGATCTTTAATCTAGCTGGAATGACCTTTCCATGTATTGTGAGATAAATATCTAATTACTATATGGAAAGCACTGTTCCTTATCTCCCTGTTGAGGAGGTAATGTCTTTCAGATACCAAGCATTCAGGTTTGAATATTTTTCTTTAAACCTGATAATACTTATTATCATCATTTTATAATATATCTTAGCATAATAATCCCTATGTGAATTTTAGAATTAGTTTGTGAAGTTCTGTAAAAAACAAACCAAAATATTAAAAACCACTACTGGAAATTTTATCAGGATTGTATTGGATATATGGATTAATTTGGGAAAAGTTATTGTTCTCACAATATGGAAAGTTTTCATCAATGAACATGGTATAACTATTAACTCAGTTTCATTTTGTTTTTCAAAAGGTTTTTTCCTTGTTTCCTAAAATTCATTTACTTCTTTTTTATTAATAATACCTTTTGGTATCTTAGATATAGAAATGGTCTGAAACTCTATTTTCTAATTCCTTTGAGTACAGTAGAATACAAATGGTTTTCTATAAGATTAGCCTAAATTTACATTTTTTTCTTATATTTTTAATGAAGATAGATTTTCAATGCTCGCTTCAGATTCTTTCTGGGTTCCAAGGAGGCTCTTTCTCAGCTACTCAGCACTCAGCCATCTTCCTGCAAGTCCAGATAATGATAGTTTCATTTTCTCAAGCTTTAGTTTTTTTAATTTCTTTTTTTATTCCACTGAATTATCCACTATCAAAGATAATTCCCTTTTGTTGCACATATCAGTTAATATTCAATACCAGTCCCGCCTTTGTAAGCTCTTTCCTATATGAAGGGCATAAAGCCTTAAGGTATGCTCTCATTATATCTTGACGGTATGCTTTTAGTTAGACTCCACTAACAAAAGCTACCTGTGTACCGTAGGGAAGTCAGAGGAAAGGGAAGCCATGATGAATGCCCATGAACCAGCTGCAGGCATGTGCAGGTATCTGTAGATGACAGTGAAAGAATCACTTCCGTAGTATCAAAAATCCTTGAGAATAACCCTTCTCTCTGCACACACTTCAGATCTTAAGGGCATCTTCCCTACGATGCCTGTGCTTCTGGATTTCCAGAAAGCAGTCTTCCCAATCTTTATTCCCTGAGTTTCCAAGCTTTGAACCTATTCTAAACAACTTTTGACACAGGATACCTATAATATTTTCTATTTTCCTAACAAAAATCTAATACAGTAGCTTTCAACCTCAGTTGGAATGCTGCCCTCATAAAAAAAGGGAAAAAAGGAGAAGAAGAAAACAGAAACCTAAGCAGGAGACACGCCTAAAAGTTGTGTGCCAGATAAAAAAGAAACTAATATCAGAGGACTGAACAGAAATCTGTAATCGTTATCTTGGGATGGTAAAACTGCCATCTGCTATAACTTGGAAGGAAGAACATATGCCTAATGAGTTTGTTGCTGTAGGGAAATAGATTTTAAAAGGAGAATTTGGAATTGTATATTCAGTGTTACTGGTTTCTCTTTGGGTAAGAAAGGGAGAGGTAAACTTGGAAAGAATTGATTGGAAAAAAAAAAGAATAGACCAATATGCAAAGAAAAAGAGAAAATTCAGATT